AAACTGAACACTTGTATTATGTTTTTGATGGATCATAGATGTATCTTGGATTATTTTGACTAGTGAACTATTGAACTGAACACTTATTACTTATAGTTATACTATTACTATTGAACTGAACGCAGTGAACTAATGATGTTTTGCCATCACTTATAGTTATACTATTACTATTGAACTGAACACAGTGAACTAATGATGTTTTGCCATCGTATTGGGGCTAATTGTATTGCCGCCCTCTTGTTGTATGGATTGAATACAAACTTGACATCCGATAACTTTTTGTCCGTTTCCGAACCGAGTCCGTACCGACTCCGCACCGAATCCGACGTCGGAAATAATCTGCTTCGCATCCGCATCCGCACGTCATCCACACCCGCTCCGTATCCGCTTAAAAAAATGGTTTAGGATATGGTATAGCTATTATCCGTCTGAATCCACTCCGTTTTCACCCCTAGTTTAAGTTTATTCAAGTCTTAGTAAATTCATAAAAATCCCTAGAATCCATTAAAAATGGTTTTTTTTTTCTATTTCAGTAGACTTATAGCATGTTTTGCTTGGTTTGTCGCGTTGATTTTGGCCATTTCGTCGCTCCGCAATACCTCGAGGTCGTTGCAGAGATCTCATGAGTACGAGAACAAGGCAAGTCATGCATTACAATTGATCATATTGTACTCAATTTACAAATGTCCCGCTTGCTATTAAATGTTGCATTATTTTACAATATCATGTGGGGATGGGTCCTATTACTCAGCCATATATTATTTCCCTTATGCCATTGATAACTCGGGTATCAATTTGACTAGATGTTGGTTTAGGAAATGGTTAGCCATGCTTAGATCCACTAGTTCACATAATGGGATAATTACATTATTAGACACTTAGTATCATGATGAGCAGCGTGCTCGAGACATCCAGCCATGTTTCGTTGGTCATAATTATCAAATTAAAATGCGACTGAATGGTGGGCTGTGGGTGCATGGTTTTGCTGGTCGCGCCCATGGCAATTAAGGACCGGTTCACGGGAAACCCTGGAAGACTTACCGTGCCTACCACAAGCGGGAATGGGTAACTGTTTGACTTGTAGTATAGCTCGACCCTTTCCTAGGCACCGATGGCAAGGGTGGGCGTGATGGAGTTGGGTCGGGCGGGGTGTCCAGTTGTCCATCTTCCGGATTCACCACGGCACACGGGGGGACTGCCCACTCTGGGTTAGGGGTGGGGGTGAAACCTCAGCGTAGTGTGGATGGTTAGGGGAGAGTTATGCAATGGGTCTTGTCACGATTTCCCTCTTTACAGTACCATGGTGGTATTTCGGGGCATGGCAACATGTGTGGAATTGTGTGTTGTGGGTACAGTTGTACACCTCTGGCTAGAGTAAAACTATTCGAATAACCGTGCCCACGGTTATGGGCGATCAACCAGATTCACCGTGATTAGTCAAATCCTTAATAATTAGCTTAATGAACTGATGTAGTTCAGGTGGTTGGTTGGGCTTGTTGCAATGTGGTGTAGCGTTAGACAGTGATGATTAATATTGCTTAATTCACTACTACAGTTTTACTGCTTTCAACTACTGTTTTTGAATGCTTGCTTTATGCGAATGAATCTTTAGACTCCTTTGGATATATATTGCATCATACCTTCTCTTCCGGTATGATTTGCTAAGTATAGTAGGTAGTACTCAGTCTTGCTCTCTCTTCCCCACACCAGAGTTGGAGTGCTGCTCAGTTGGAGGTCTCTCAGAGGAGTCGGTTTCGTCGCTGCCGTCAAGGATGCCTGTGGAGTGGGGTCGCCTTGCTACAGGAGTCAAGCTTTCAAGTTTAGCTCATTTTTATCTTTCCGTTGCATTTGTAATATTTTATATGTTTGTAAGACGTGGATATGTATATCAACAATTGTTGTTTGTATACCCTGACTGGTCCTGGATAGGGGTTTTAATGCACATTCAGCTTAGAAATTCTGGTTCGTCAATTTCTGGGCATGACATCATGAGATATACGAATACAGTAGGATACATGTAAAATAAGGAAACCAGTGAATTCGTGTGGGAAATATCCTTCACGAGTAGGACCGTATCAATATCCTACTCTGAGAAGGGAAGGACTGTATTGTATCATATGGGGTTCGATGTCTCCAAGTTCTACTTGGTGACCAAGATGATCCTCGGTACAAATACATACCCCCTGAGGGGTACAGGGCATCGGATCCTGAGTGCAAAACACCCGCCACCACAGAAGCAATCCGCAGGACTTGAAGCCTATTCGCCGATAGATCTCGTCGAGCTCCTCTCGACAAGGATCGCATCAGTAATCTCGGAGTTCAATTGTTCTCTTTTGTACTTTGTGGTTTCTTCTATAATCCCTTATAAACTGGATTAGGGTATTACCTTACGAGGGGTTTGAACCAATATAATTCTTGTATTTTGTATGCTTGATGTTATATCATGTAGATCATCATACCAACGTACCCCAGTACCCTCAGAATACGGTCTACGGGTATCCCCCGTCGACAGTGACGCGCCAGGGAGGGGAACTTGGTGCTCAAGGTTTTGCCAAGATGACTTCAAGCTACTCCGACAACTACATTTGCACCAACTTTGGCTCAGGAGATCCAACTCGGACACCATTGGTATGGACCCAAGTCGGATCCATCGTCTTTCCGGTCTATGCTGCAACGCCGATCTCATCCATCCCAGTACCTGTCGGGATCGAGAACAGCGCAAGAGAGGATTCAACCAAGGTGGTCTTGCATACATCAAACTGTACTGGGAGTGAGCATAAAGCAGGAGATCTTTGCAAGTTTGCTCTCCACTAAAGGCAGACACTTCAGGATGCTCTTCTTCCTTCTCGTTGTCGTCATCGTTGTCATTCTGATTCTCGAGAGTGCTCTGGATGCTGCTCATGTTTCCATTGTAGAGCGCCCATATCCTCTCCGCGTACTTGGCAACGAATATCAGCCATGCAGCACACGGCCCGCTACCAGCGACACTGATTGCGCATTACTACCCCATGCCGACGAAAGGGAGGTGATGGTGACGCGGTAGATCGCCAAGTACCAGTACACCAAGAGAGGCATCGACGAGCCGACACACATATACCTAAACACGCGGTCGTACATGGATCCCATGATGGAGTCGCTGAGGGAGAGGACGTCGATGGTGTGGGATGCGATCAGCCTCCCTGATGACAGCCACCTGCTGCACATCCACATGGCAATAGAGCAGCTTGGTACGGGACATTGACAAGCTGAGGGAGTGCATGATGGTGCGGAGCAGCGGCAGCGACGACATGGATGCATGCAGGCTGGAGCGACACCTTGCCGGCGGGTGGAGGCATGTTGTGCCGAAGCAGGAGCGCGTACGGAAGAACATGTTCAAGGTGCAGCCCGACACTGTGACTAGGATGTTGGTGTGGTTCCGGCCGTTGTCGCCACTACATCGTACCAATCTCAATCGTCGGAGGACTAAGATTGTCAGCACCCGAGGTTGGAATTCCTGAATACTTGGAGCATACACTGTACTAGTCTCATGATCCGTGGCTAGTACACACATCCACAACATTGTTATCACATCCATACAATATATATGGCACATCAGTAGAAAAGGTGGCTCTTATATATAACTTAGCGGTACAAGAATCATACAAGATAGTTGGCCCAAGTAGCCAAACAAAAGAGTATTTCAAATGCAATGGAACAAATATACAAGTTCTTCGGTATGCCCACATACCAAAACCACATAGGCAACCGACTAGGAATCATCCTAAAAAGAACTATCCATAGAAACTCCGGTAACCGGCTCAAACACCTGCTTCCTGCAAACAAGACTAAAAACAACAACAAGAGGTAGGTCAATACACGAGGTATTGGTGTTAACGTCAAATTTTGGTAAGATTCTTTAGTGGATTCGGTTAAGAAAAGAAGTCAATTAGCCGATGGAAACCTATCCCGAACAAACCAAGTTCAAGGAGGAATCGTGAAGACCACGACATGGCAGTTTAATTCTGTCTATTAATTATATTAATTATGCAGAGTCAGTTAGTTTCCTTTTATTTTTAGGAAAGATTGTTTAGAGTCCGATTATGACTTGTATATTTTATTTTATCTTTAGGAAAGTTTGTATCTTACCCAATAAGGACTAGTACCTACCCATGAGTATAAATATGTACACTCGGGGCCCTTGTAAAATATCTCTCGATCAATACAACTTCGGTGTATCACCACCCTTTTTATTTTCATCTTTCTCGACGAGTTATTGTTTCGAGTTGGGCTGCATCGGCTTCGATTTCCGATGAGGAGTAAGGCTTGTTATGGTTGGTTTTATCTACGGGGCTAGGGCTTCGACACTCTAATCTTGTCGATGTAAACACCTATTTATCATATATCTTAGTTAATTTAAGTCGATGTCTCAATTTAATTCTTCGTGTGATGACGCATGAAGCGAGCGCAACCGGATTCAATGCTATATATGATTTCTAACTTTGTTTTGCCATATTATTTTGTTTGACTTGTTTTGGTTTGTCATTTAAAATGGCAGAGTTTTTATCAATCGAAAAGTGTCTTCACCTGTTGCAACGCACCGATATTTTTGCTAGTACTTCTTCCGTTTCATATTATAAGTCGTTTGATTTTTTTTCATAGTCAAACTTTATTAAGTTTGATTAAATTTACAGAAAAATTTAGCAACATCTAAAATATCAAACTAGTTTTATTAAATTTATCATTGAACATATTTTAATACTCCCTCCGTTTTATATTGTAAGATTTCTTGGTCTTATCTAGATTCATCCATTGATCAATGTATATGTTTTATATATGTGTCTAATTTATTAACATCTCTATGAATTTGGGGAATGCTAGAAAGTCTTACATAATGTAACGGAGGAAATAATATGTTTGTTTTGGGTTGAAAATACTATTATATTTTTCTATATACTTGGTTAAACTTAAAGAAATTTAACTAGGAAAAAAATAAAACGACTTATAACGTAAAACGGAGCAAGTAACTCATATATACCAGCGTGTTCATAAATTTTTCTGTATTATACACCAAATAATCCTTTTTTATGATTCCACGATAGTACTCTATTTTGCCACCATTTCTAGAGTTCCTTTAGTGCCAGATAACACTGAGATAGACTACTTTATTTTTCCACCAACAAACAAAACAAAATAATACGTCATATAATGCGGCCAACACTGCAAGTAGTCTCCACCGATTTCTGACCTTAATTTAAAGTGGTACTAGTAAGTAGACCGGTTTTATACTCCATAAGCCGATGGAAGCAGCCTTGGCACGGGCTGGACCATCAACGGCACGGCCCTCTGCAAGGTGAGCCCATAGGCCTCCTCCATGTTGAGCTTGTCCGGAGTCGCGCCGTTAGCCAAGGTCCAGTCGAACCCGTGCACTAGCGTGGCAGTCATCAGTGTGACCATCCGCAAGCCCCAACTAAGGCCAGCGCATATTCTCCGTCCTGCTCCGAATGGTATCAGGCCGAAATCAGCACCCTTGACATCCACGTCTGCATGCATCCTGCCGGGGAGAAACCGAGAAGGCTGGTACTGTAGCGGGTCGGGCCATTGGGTCGGGTCACGGGCTATAGCCCAGACGTTGACTAGGAGGGTAGCGCCCTTGGGGATACGGTAGCCGTCCACCTCACACTCCTCTGCAGCCTCCCGAGGCAGTGAGAGCGGCGTTGACGGGTGAAGCCGAAACGTCTCCTTGATCACCGCGGTGAGGTAGGGGAGGCGTGGAAGGTCAGACTCGGACACGAGACGACCCCTACCGACGACGGTGTCAAGCTCATGCTGGGCCTCCTTGAGGACGTCCGGGTGCCGGATCAGCTCCGCCAGTGCCCACTCCACCGTGCTCGATGTCGTATCCGTCCCCGCAGTGAATAGGTTCTATCACGATCCACAAAAAGAAAGAAGAAAGATCATGTCAACATGGAAGTGGTGTTGCGATAATCTGAAAAGGCACGGTCATCAGGAACTTACCAGGAGCAGAGCTTTGATGTCAGTTTCGGTGATCTTTTCGCCGTCGCCGTCCAGCTTCTGCTCCTCCTGCATCCTCGCCAGCAGCACGCTTAGAAGGTCGTTGCCGTGCTCGCCAGCGGCGACCCCGTCGGGCTGCGCCCCGGCCTTCCTTTCGTTGATGAATCCGTTCATCATGTTGTCGTACCGACGGTGCAGCCTCTTCATCTTTGCCACGACGCCCTGCGGGTCGAGCCACCGGAGCGCCGGCACGAAGTCCCCGACGTTGAAAACGCCGGCGAGCTGCATCAGCTCCACAACCATCTCCTTGAACTCCCTTGCGCCTTCCCCGCCGTCGACGGCGAACACCCGGTGACCGATGGTGGCGCGGGCCAGCGTGTTCGTGGCGCAGACGTTCGCTTCCTGCCCCAGCGCCACTGACGCCGCCTGCTGCCGAGCGAGGTTCCTCACCATGAGCGCGACCTCGCCCTCCCGGACTGCTCGGAGGTCGTCGAGCGCCTTGGCCGAGAAGAGGTGGAGCGCGCACAGCTTCCGCAGGGCGCGCCAGCGAGCACCGTAGGGCGCGAAGACGAGGTCCTGGTAGTTGTACGCGACGTGCTCGGCGCCCGAGTTGGGCGGGCGGTTGCTGAAGTTGGCATCGTGCCCGCGCAGGAACTGCGCAGCCACGGGCGCCGACGCGGCCACCACCACCTCGGCGCAGCCGAACCGGAGCCGGAACAGCGGGCCGTACTGCCGCGCCAGGGCGCACATGGTGTGGTGCGGCTTGTCGCCGAGCTGCGGCAGGTTGCCCAGCACGGGCCACCCGCGTGGCCCGGGTGGCAAAGGCCGCCGCTTCCTCGCCGCGTCGCCGCCGCTGCCGCCGCGGAGGAAGTACACAAGGTACCACACGGCGGCGGACACGGCCAGGGAGCCGAGCAGCAGCGGGAGAGGCACAACGTCCATGACCGTATGATCCGCTCGCTCGTTGTACGATGGGAAATGCGGGTTTAGAGAGGAAAACGCGGACTGGGTAGTTGATATATACACGGTACCCCCGCGTGCTGTGCAGCTAACAAACTACCCTTCGTACCTACCACCGAACAGGTACCAAAGGTTGTTTGCTTGATTCCTTTTCTCCTCATGGCATGTGTGGCTGTGTACTGGTCAAATGACGCAAAACCAGCCCACCTGTTGCAATCACTAATAATTTTATTTTATTTGGCTCTCGACTACTTGGCACATATCATAGAAATCAACTTGTTTCAAATGAGTAAAGAAAATATGTCACAGCATGTAGTGGTGCAACTTTCACCTTTTTTATCAAAGAAAATTTCATCATTGACACGAGATTGTCCCGGATATCAACAAATTCAATACTCCATCCGTTTTTACCCTTTCTAAATAAATCATGATGTTATTCTTTTTACGTATACTAGTAATTTATCCGCGCTAACGCTACGGTAATATTTAAGTAAATCCATGTTATTAAAAAACTTATCCATTTCATTAAAAAAATTAAGTTATTTCCTTTGATTTTGTTTTTTTAGCAACATTGACATATTGATTAGTCAGTTATAGTTAATCTTGATTTTTTCCCCTAAACTAAAGCATCAGATGTCAAAGGACCAAAGAGCTGAAATATATAGGAGCTACCCTATGATTCGATACAAAATATGCATTATTAACTGTCTTCATATATCAAATGTTATCTTACGTGGCAATGTGACCAAAGTTACGGATCACATCATGTGGAGATTATGGATATCCCATATCTACACGGCGATGATATTTGGACTGAATATAGGATACCGAATATAGATAGAATATCTTATGTGTATCCTGGGTTTGTTTCCTGACTTGTATATCAAGGAAACAACTTAAGACTTAGTCGGTCACGACTGTATTTAATCTGTATCTGTGTATTCCGTTAGGGATATAGATTATCTTTTGTAACCCGGACTCCTTCCTATATATAAGGGGGGTCCGGGCGCCTCTAGGGGCAGTTGTTGGATTTTCTCCAAATCATACAATCAATAACACACTCGGCGGATTCATCCCCGGACAGGAGTAGGGTATTACTTCTTTTATAAGAAGGCCTGAACCTGTATAAATCTTTTTGTCTCCAAACCCATACACTTTCCTAGCTTGATAGCCACCCCCTTTTTATTATTGCCGAAATCTAGTTTCGACAGTTGGCGCGCCAGGTAGGGGAAGCGTCAAGCTTTTCGCCGATCAGTGCAATGGGTTCCATCTCCGGCATCGACGACCTCGTCTTCCCACCCGGGCAGACGTTTCGGTTCGGCAGCCTCGACTTCGTCACCAACAACTTCGGCAAGATTTCTCTCCTCGACTCGGAATCAGACCAGTCGGGAGAGAACCGGATTTCGGTCCCGTTTGGATTCCCGAACGCGGCTGAAAGCTACTTCAAGACCATCTCGACCGAGTCGGCTTCAAACCACTCGGCCGAGATCGCATCTTCTCCAACGACACCAGATCAAGATGATGGGGCTTACCCACCAGTCCTGATGAAGCTCCCCGACGATTTAGCGGCCGTCTCCACCACGACAGCGTCTTCATCCCGTAGGCCTAGGCGGAAGTCGGCTTCAACACCGATTTCGCCTAGCTTCAGGGAAGTCGGCGTCATCCTCCAACCACTCGGCACGGTTTCGACGGATCAGCTGGATGACTACAACAGCTCTCCCACCGTCGACTCACGTCCTACTGACATTGTGGAGTACGACGAATTTAGTTCTCGCTACAACGACTTCGACGACTTCGACGACTTCGACGGAAGCCTAGATGACAACTACACCCCTCTCTACTTTGGCGTTTTCATGGCCAATAATGAGACGGAGGAGCAACGCCAAGCCCGGGAGACCGAAGAACGTCGCCGACTAGAGGAGGAGCATCAAGCACAAGAACAAGAACGGCTACGGCGTGAGCAGCAGGACCGTGAGCGGACCGCGAAGGAGGCTGAGGATCGACGTCAGCGAGCTTTGGAAGCAGGGCGCCGAGCGCGTGATCTCATCGGCCAGCAAGATGTCGAAGGGACACCGGTTTTCCGCACCCCTCAACAGAATGCGGTTGCCGCGATCACCCTTCTCGACACCCTCCTCAACCAAAACGAGCTCAATCAATCCGACCACGTCGTCAACATCTTGAACCAGACGAAGACCATGATTGCGGCTTCGGTCCCAGTTAACTCCGAAAGCGTCCACACGCCGACTGGCAGCCGAGTTCCCCACTTCCGATCTCATGACTACCGTCATCCAAGCCTCAGCATCACCGGCGCAGGATCCAACCGCAGGAGCAGGGGTCACGACGAGCGGTCTGTTCACTCACCTCCCGACCTTCATAGGGAGCGCCGAGTGGAACGGCCTCGCTCACCACCTCGTCGCCGCCCCATCGATCTTCGCGACACAATCATACAGCGCCGAGCAGCTCGAGGCTACCATCACTCGCCGGACAGCCACGACGACGACCTTGACGGAGTAGCAGCCTTCACCGACGACCTGCGTCGAGTGGATTGGCCAGCCGGCTTCAAGCCGACTGGAATAGAGAAGTACGACGGCACCACTAACCCCGAATCGTGGCTTACCGTCTACGGTCTCGCGATCCGCGCAGCAGGAGGAGACAGCAAGGCCATGGCGAACTATTTACCAGTGGCTTTAGCGGATTCCGCCCGATCTTGGCTCCATGGATTGCCCCGTGGTACAATTGGATCTTGGGCCGAACTACGCGACCACTTCATCGCCAACTTCCAAGGCACCTTCGAGCGTCCCGGCACACAATATGATCTCTACAACGTCATTCAGAAGTCCGGAGAATCCCTTCGAGATTACATCCGGCGATTTTCTGAACAACGTAACAAGATCTCCGACATCACCGACGACGTCATCATCGCCGCGTTCACCAAAGGGATTCGCCACGAAGAACTAGTCGGCAAGTTTGGGCGTAAGCCTCCCAGGACAGTCAAGCTTATGTTTGAAAAAGCCAACGAGTACGCCAAAGCTGAAGACGCCGTCACCGCATCAAAGCAGTCGGGTCCCAGTTGAAAGCAAAACAAGGGTACGCCGGCTACGGGAGGAGGTGGAAGTAACAATCATAAGGACCGCAAGCGTAAGCCTGCGGAACTTGTTGCAACCGCCAGTCACTCTTCTCGACAACGTTCGCGCGTCAACACGTTCGACAAGATCATGAACTCCCAATGCCCGCACCATCCTAACTCCAACCACGTGGCCAAAGATTGTTTCGTCTACAAGCAATTCGCGGATCAATACACCAAGACTGCACGGAAGAACTCTGACGAAGAACAAAGCACGTCGAGGAAGAAAGACGACGGCGACGCCCCGGCAGGATTTCAAGACCACCGCAAGGAGCTCAACCATATCTTCGGCGGCCCCTTAGCTTATGAGTCTAAACGGAAGCAAAAGTTGACTGAACGAGAGATCAATGCTGTTCAACCCGACACGCCCCAGTATCTTCGATGGTCAGAAATCGCAATTAAGTTTGATCGCTCGGATCATCCTGACCGAGTGGTCCACCCGGGGCGGTACCCCCTGGTACTAGACCCAGTGGTCCGTAATGTCAAGCTTCGCAGAACCCTCATCGACGGTGGCAGTGCACTCAATATCCTCTTCGCCAAGACCTTGGATGATATGCAGATTCCTCGCTCCGAGTTAAAACCAAGCAATGCGCCTTTTCACGGAGTAATTCCAGGATTATCCGCAACTCCACTCGGCCAGATCACCCTCCCGGTCACTTTCGGTACTCGGGAAAACTTTCGCACAGAGAATATCAGCTTTGAAGTCGCCGATTTCGAGACAGCATACCATGCCATACTCGGACGCCCGGCGTTAGCCAAGTTCATGGCCGTCCCGCACTACACTTACATGATGATGAAGATGCCTGGTCCCCGAGGAGTGCTATCCCTACGGAGTGACATCAAGCAAGCCGTCACATGCGACAAGGAGAGTTGCGACATGGCTCAAACCCGCGAGATGGCGTCTGCCCGAGAGGATATCCGACTGGCTGCAGCCACGGCGAGCGAAGGAGAAATACCTGCTACCAAGACTTCAAAAAGTGGAGAAAGCGAAGCCAAGACTAAGAAGATTCCCCTAGATCCCTCTGATCCTACTAAAACTGCTGTAATAGGCGCCGAGTTAGATTGTAAATAGGAAAGCGCGCTCATCACCTTTCTTCAGAACAATAAAGATATCTTTGCGTGGAAACCATCTGATATGCCCGGTATTCCTAGAGAGGTGATTGAGCACTCCTTACATGTCAAAGAAGATGCCAAGCCTATCAAACAACGACTCCGCCGATTCGCACAAGACAGGAAGGACGCGATCAAGGAGGAATTAACCAAGCTGTTAGCAGCAGGCTTCATCAAAGAAGTCCTTCATCCCGACTGGCTGGCAAACCCGGTTCTAGTTCGGAAGAAAACAGGGCAATGGCGCATGTGTGTTGATTATACCGACCTCAACAAGTCTTGTCCCAAAGATCCTTTTGGGTTGCCTCGCATTGACCAGGTAGTTGACTCAACCGCCGGCTGTGAGCTTCTCAGTTTTCTGGATTGCTACTCGGGGTATCATCAGATCCGACTGAAGGAATCCGACTGCTTGAAGACTTCATTCATCACGCCCTTTGGAGCTTATTGCTATGTCACCATGCCGTTCGGACTAAAAAACGCAGGAGCAACTTATCAACGTATGATCCAAAGATTCTTCTCAACGCAGATCGGCCGCAACGTTGAAGCCTATGTGGATGATGTAGTCGTCAAGACCAAGCAAAAGGGTGATTTGATCTCGGATCTAGAAGAAACCTTCGTGAGCATCCGTGCTTTCAGGATGAAATTGAACCCTGAAAAGTGCACCTTCGGAGTACCGTCAGGGAAGCTGCTTGGCTTTATGGTGTCTCATAGGGGCATCCAAGCCAACCCAGAGAAAGTTACTGCTATCCTCAACATGAAACCGCCAAGTACCCAGAAAGATGTTCAGAAGCTGACTGGATGCATGGCGGCGC